TACCTCTGTTCGTCTTCTCCTATCCATGGCTGCCATACGACATTGGCCTCTTTTCCAACTTGATATCAAGAATGCATTCTTACATAGTGAGCTTGCCAAGGAAGTCTATATAGAGCAACCTCCTAGTTTTGTTGCTCAAGGGAAGCCTGGCTTAGTATGTCGTCTACACCGATCTATTTAGGGTTTGAAACAGTCTCAACGAGCATGGTTCGAGCAATTCAGATCAGTAGTTCAATAGTTTGGTATGATTCGCAATAAGGTAGAGTAGATCATTCTGTTTTTTATATCATCATTCTTCATCTAATAAAAATATTTATCTCGTGGTATATGTAGATGACATCGTTATCACAGGAGATGGTGAATAAGATATCAGTCAATTAAAACATCTCTTCTGTCACTTTCAAACTAAGGATTTAGGTCAATTGAATTATTTTCTTGGTATTGAGGTGGCTCAGTCATCAACAACTATTGTTATTTCTTAGAGAAAGTATGCTCTTGATATCTTAAAGGAGACTGCCTTGACAGATTGTCGACCTGTAGACACTCCTATGGATCCTAACATCAAACTTTTACCAAGACAGGGACAGCCTTTTTTAGATCCTGGCCGGTATCAGAGACTTGTTAAAAAATTGAACTATCTTACCATAACTTGTCCAGACATTTCCTTTACTGTAAGTGTAGTCAGTCAATTTCTACAGTTTCCATGTGATAGTCATTGGGATGCTGCAATTCGAATTCTTAAATATATCAAAGGGGCTCCTAATCAAGGACTCCTTTATGAGGATAAAAGTCATTCTCAAATCATTAGTTACTCAAATACAGATTGGGCCAGATCACCCTCAAATAGACGATCGACTTCAGGCTATTCCATAATATTTGGAGACAACCTGATTTATTGGAAAAGTAAGAAGTAGAATGTGATTGCTAAGTCAAGTGCAGAAGCTGAGTATCGTGCCATGGCATTAGCAACATGTAAACTTATATGACTTAAACAACTGCTTTAGAAATTGAAATTTGAAAATATTAAGCAAATGCAATTGATCTGTGATAATCAAACTGTCTTGTACATTGCCTCTAATCCAATACTTCATGAAAAGACCAAACATATAGAAGTGGACTGTCACTTCATCAGAGAAAAAATTTAGTCTGGATGCATTGTTACTAGATTTGTCAATTCCAATGATCAATTAGCTAATGTATTCACTAAATCACTAAGAGAATCTCAGATTACATATTTATGTAACAAGCCTGGTGCATATGACTTATACACTCCAGCTTGAGAGGGAGTGTAGAAATATGTAGAATAGGAATACACGATAGAGTATATCATTAGGAATATTCTCATTGATTTTTTATTTTCTTTCCTTATTTGTATATTCTATTTCCTTTCTTATATATCTTAAGTACTATATATACAGATTTAGGGGACAGTGTAAAGACACACTGACTCATTCACATAATTTAAGTTTCTTACAGTTGTTTCTCAACAGATGTATTGAACATTTCATATTTTCATTATGAGAATTATTTGATTATTTGAGAATATTATTCAGTTCATAAATTTCTCTCTTAGATGGAATTTTGTCTTGCATTAATTGGTTGAGCAAAATTGATCCAAAAACTGTAATGATTCACTGTTTTGTTTCTGTTTGTGTTGGTTCAAACATAAAACCTAACACCATCATAGTCTTCTGCTTCTGCTACTAAATAGTCTGTTGCCTCTCTATCTTCATCTATTTACTTCACTGCTTCTGTTAGACAACATTGTTTGTCACAATTGCAAAATTTCAGTTTTATCCATTGCATCATAAGGCTAGCAACTGAGTCACCACCAACATGTGAAGCTGAAACCCTAATTGTTGTTGTGGCCACTAGCTGAAGTTGCCTTTATTGATTTTCAACGGGAGAAAAGAGAGAGATTTACCTAAGTCCTTGCTACATCCCTATGCGACCTAAAGAAGTTGAAACCAGAATCTTTCTTGCCATTGTCCCTAGCAGTTCGATCCTGAATCATTGACATGTTGCCTCATCAAACTACTGTGACATAGGTGCAAGTGTTCTACTCGTGTGCAAAGGGAAGGAAAAGGGAATTTGGATTTATTGATGTTGTTGAAAAGACAACCCTAGAAAACACTAAATTATGTATAAAATGAGTCAATGTGTATACAATGTCCTCTAATTCTGTATTTATAGTACTGAAGGATATATACAAATAAAGAAAGGAAATAAAAATAAATAAATAAATGAGAACATTCCTTTGCAATACATTTCTATCGTATATTATTAATCTGCCTATATACATATTCCTACAGACCTTACCTAGCTGAGATAGTTCGGGTCCTTCCCTACCTGAGATAGTTCGGGTCTGATATCCTGACCAATTCAGATCCAGTTCCAGTTCAATTCACCATTCAGATCTAAATCCTGTTAGGTTGAACATCCAGGCCAAATTTGTTTTGTTCAACCTTCTACGGTTCAAACTAAGCCGCTGCTCGCCCCAGTCCAATTGTACCCACTGTTCAACACTTCAACAACTAGACAACCTGATGCTTCAATATGTGTACACGAATTCTACAAGGGGTCCTCAACCGTATTCAAGGTATTCATATTATGATGACACATGTTTCTCAACCACCGTATGGGTCATATTCATATAACTATGAGAAGGATTATGATTATCATGAGTCTGCATATCTTGCTTTTCTTGGAGGTCATTGTGATTAAGAATATTCAGATTTACTTAAGATGTGAATGGAAAGATAAAATCAGTATTAGAGTGCTTGGAGAAAGTGTTATTGTATTGGAATTCACTCCATTCTAAACTAAGTCCAAATGTAGAATGACAAGGCAAGAAGTTAATGAGCTCCAAGAAGTTATGAAATTTTAGAAGATGTTCAAGAGCCAAAAGATTAAGTTGAAGAAGTCCCATAAGTTACAGAGAAGGTTGAACTCAAGTCTGAAAACAAGAAAATTCAAGATTCAAAAGAACAAGGCAATCAAAGAAAGGTAATTCATAAATGAAAGATGGAAAAATTCTAAAGATGCTCAAGTAATCAAATTTTTCATTTTAGCTGAGTTCCTTGCTCCAGCAAAACAATTTGCTATATCTATTTCTTCCATATCATCTTTCAGATGAATAAACTGTCAAAACAAGTTTGATCAATGTAAGCTAAGGACAATAAATCCCCCATCCTACAACATTTTAAAACTCAATGGCGAGTTTTTGTCAACTGGGGAGAATGATGCAGAACATGAATATAGACTTGATTATTCAGATTTATTTAATTTAATGTTATTTAATTATTTAGATGATGATTTGATTATTTGATCAATGTAAACTAAGGACAATAAATCCCCCATCCTACAACATTTTAAAACTCAATGGTGAGTTTTTGTCAACTGGGGAGAATGATGCAGAACATGAATATAGACTTGATTATTCAGATTTATTTAATTTAATGTTATTTAATTATTTAGATGATGATTTGATTATTTGAGAATATTATTTTGTAAATTTCTTTCATTGAATAGAATTTTGTCTTGCATTGAAACCATAACAAGTAATTTTTTCCTTATAATTAGAGAGAAGAAATAAGATGAGAAAAAAAGAAATGAATCCTTCAACCTCAATCAACAACAGCTTTTAAATATCTATGAATATAGGTACAAAAATATTTTTACTGAAACATCCCTAATGATAAGAATTAAGACTCATAATACTCTTCCTCAAGCTGGGGCACAAACATTATACATGCCTTTTGTTACAAATACAAATTATTTGATTCTCAACCAGCTTTGGTGAACTCATTAGCTAACTGCTCTCCAACATGAACATAGTTAGTAGAGATGAGTCCTTGCTGGATCTTTTCCCAGACAAAATGACAGTTGACTTCTATATTCTATCTCTTTCATGAAATACCAAATTAGAGGCAATATGACTAACCACTTGATAGTCACACCATGAGTGCATGGCCTGAGAATCTCCTATTCTGACCTCCTTGAGAAGTTGATGTATCCACATAAGCTCGCAAGTAGCTTTTGCCATGGCTCTATACTCAGATTCTATACTAGCCCGAGCAACAATACCTTGCTTCTTACTCCTCTATGAGACTAAATTTCCCCTGACAAATATACAACAGCATATAGTAGATCGCCAATTTAGTAGAAATCTTGCCCAATCAGCATCAAAAAGCCCCTCCACTCCATTATGGCCATGATCACTATAAAGAATACCACATCCTTAGGCACCCACAAAGATGGGATTGAAATGCCTGGCTACCACTTACTCATTCTTAAAAGCATGTATTTGAGCTCTAATTTCAAACTTGCTAGTTGAGGTGTCATAATTATATTTTTATGGCAACTGTATATGACATCTATCATCTATTCCCTAGGAATCACAAATGTGGACAGTAATTTAGTTGGACATGAAATGGACTTTGCTGAGGATGTGGCATAAATAAATAAATATTTTACACACATAGATCATAATATTAATAATATTTGCAAGTTTACATCATAATACATCCATGTTAGTTAGTATCAAGATTCAAGATATTAAATCAGCACTTTTCAGCACCATATATACCAGGAATGCAATGCAGGGAGAAAAAACAAATCTCAACAATTATCTTAGATGTTTTACTTGTAAATAAATTAGAACCTCTTGGTTTAAATATCATTCAACTAAAAAACCTACAAGGACGAGTTCATAAGTATGAACCACAACACCATCAGTAACTATTTTTGTTTTTCCAAGCTGGCAAGGTGTTTTTTGTGTATCCAATTAATTTACAAGTGTGTCCCTGAAGCATTTCCAGTTCTACTAGTTCAGAAGGTCTATGACACATTTCAACTTAGTCTAACAAACACTGCAGAGCATGCAAATTGTTGACATCCAACAGAGTTAGCACTTTCTTAAAATAACGTGCATCTTACACATTACTTTTTTCAAGATATTGAAAAGAAAAGATAAAAGACAGGAAAAAAAAAAAGAAACAGCTAATTGTACTTACAGTACGGTTCTCCATCAAGCGTTGTACAGCTTGTCTCACCAAAAACTCAGATTTGCTATCCAATGAAGAGGTTGCTTCATCCAATATCAGAATAGATGGATTCTGATAGACTGCCCTTGCAATAGCTAGTCTGGAATTATAAAGGAAATAAATCAAAACATATTCAATTCAGAACGGTATTTGATGTGCAGCAACATCACTCTATTACAGAACACCATTACGTTCTAAAGGGAAAGGAACCAAAAAAAAGAAAAAAAGTGAGGTCATTGTAGATATTATGCAGGCTATAACATAACATATATTTAATATTAGAATTTAATTTTTGAAACTAACAGCACACCTTTGCTTTTGGCCTCCACTTAAAATTGAGCCACAGGGTCCAATATTAGTCTCATACTGTTCTGGTAGTAATTCAATAAATTCATCAGCATTTGCAGTTTGTGCTGCACGTTTAACTCTCTGCATGTCCACTTTAGTCATTAGATCTCTGTACCCAATATTTTGAGCGACTGTCCCTGAAAAAAGTGTCTGGTTGAAATACCTAAGTTAACACCTATTACTGGATAAAGAACTGTAAATATTAAACTCAAAAAAGTATTGTCATGAAAGGCCGGCAAAAGCCAAAAAGCAGCAAGGGAATCATCAATTCCCCTTTTAAGGCCTGTTCTGTTCACAATTGGCAAACTATCAAATCCAGTGGTGGTGGAACCCTTTAATAAACTATCAAGATCAGGTGAGGTTTTTAACAAAATCACTTATTTTTCAACCACATTTTTAAATTTCAAATGAAAAGAAATAACAAGGACATATATTTCTCCCAACTACAGACCTATATGGTTACTAACAGCCAAAGAACCATGTTCAATACAACTCTTTCGGGAATAACAGTGACAGATTCATTCCTCAATAACTGTAGTAAAGTTACAATTTCACATGAAGCCTTGCATACATACGTTCTCAATTTCAAAGCAAATTTCTGTGTCATACCCCTCTAAGAGGTGTTAAGAGTTATATATGGAAGTTATACTGTAAAGATACTACTAGTGTCTAGGTTCAATGTATTTGTATCCATCAATTCATTATAAATAGATGTAATGATCAGTCTGATAAACACAGACTTTTCCCTTAAATGATAATCTTGTTCTATATCTTCACATGGTATCAAAGCAGGTTAAAACATAAAGGGTTAAGTTTTCATTACACTGTTTTCACGCCTCCAATACTGTTCATTGGTGGCTATTCATCGTTGAGGAAAAAGAAAAAAACCGAGAAAGTCAAGATCTCGGTCAGATCTTGATTGTCGGCCATCGTCATCCATCCCGAAGCTCGTCGAAGGTCAGCCATCGTCATCCAAGATTCGTTGGCTCTTTGTCGACCCTCTTGAACTGTTAGGTCCTCTCATTCTTACTCCTCGTTGTGATCGCTGGTTTGTCTGGTTATCATTGCTGTCAAATAGTCTGGTTCGTCTCATCAACAGCCAAATTTGTGGGGTCCTCTCATTCTTACTCCTCGTTGTGATCGCTGGTTCATCTGGTTATCGTTGCTGTCGGATCGTCTGGTTCATCTCATCGACAGCTGAATCTCTTCATGGTTCATCTGGTTTGTTTGGCTCATCTCATCGATAGCCGAGTCTCTATAGTTCGTCTGGCTCATCTCATCGACAGCCGACTCTCTATAGTTCGTCTGGCTCATCTCATTGACAGCCGACTCTCTCTCTAGTTCGTCTGAAGCCATGCTACTATTTTAGGCGTGCTATTGGTTCGTCTGATCTGAAGCCCTACTACAAACATCTGGATCTGCTGGATCTGGATCTGAACTGTTGAACTGCTGGATCTGTTGGATCTGGATCTGAACGGTTGGATCAGACCTGTTGACTGTTGGATTTGATTTAAAGGTGTTGGTAACATGGATTCCAAGTTCTTTACTAACTCTCCTCTCCAAATCACCAATCATAAGTTAAATGGTGATAATTATTTTCAATAGTCTATTGCTATAAAGGTCTTTCTTGGTTTAGGAAAAGATAATTATCTTACTGATGACTCTCCGGAGATTAATTCTAAAACTGCTACCAACTCTAATAAAAAAAAAGTTGCTATTTGGAAACAAGAAGATTACCAAATTATGTCTACCTTATGGAATTCCATGGAACCACCTATTACCGATACTTGTACAAATTATACAAGTAACAAAAAGATTTGGGAGCATCTTCGACGAGTCTATACCAGTAATCTATCTAGAATGTACGATGTGATGGTGGAGTATCAATCTATTTGTATGGACAATAACAATCTTGCAGATCATTTTGCCAATTTCAGCCGTCTTCGAGAAGAGTGTAATCATTTGTTTCCTATTACTAAAGACATTGATACTATGCTAAAGCAACAAGATCAGCTAGATGTATTTCATTTTCTGGCTACTTTACTGACTGATTTTGAGCACTTTCGTTCTCAAATCATTGCAGGCTCAGAACGTCCTAGTCTTGAAGAAGTTTATTCTCGTGCTTTACGCTTCACTACTTCTCACCCTTCATATCATCTTCCTACAATTGAGAGATCTACACTAGTTTCTACTGGTAAAGGACAAGGCAGCCATAATGATGATCGTAAAGGAGTTAGTAATAGTGATGGTCGAGGCCAAAGTGGTCGAAACAATACGCATGGGGGCTGTGATAACCATAAAGACAGAGGATGTGATTTCTGTGGATGCTCAAATCATACCAAAGACAGGTGTTGGGATTTACATGGTAAGCCTCCTCAATTTGCAAATACTGTATCCTCTAACACCAATGGATCTGAAAATCATACTAGAGCACCATCACTCTCCTCATCTGCAACCCACAATGTGACTTTGACAGGGGATGAGTACAATAAGTTCCTTCAGTATTAATCTGCTCAACAGGCTTCTTTACCCATTGCATCTCTTGCCAATTTAGGTCTTTTTCACTCTTGTTTTCTTTCTGCCTCTTCTCCCTCTCAGTCTTGGATCCTCGATTCTAGGGCCTCAGATCACATGAGAGGTGATAACAAAATTTTATCTCATATCCGTTGTTCAGAAAATTTACCTAATGTCACTTAGCTGATGGTTCCCAAACTAAGGTTTATGGTATAGGGAATGCAAGTCCCTCTTCCAATCTCTCATTGTCATCTGTCCTTTATATTCCAAAATTTCCAGTTAATTTGATGTCTATTAGCCAATTAACCAAACAACGTCATTGTTCTGTAACTTTTTTCCCTAACTCCGTTGTTCTTCAGGATTTAAAGACAGGGAAGAAGATTAGCGAAGGGCGTGAGTCTTGCAATTTCTATATGATTGATTTGTCAGCAACTAACTGCTTGTCCAACCGTCAGTTCTGCGTCATCATTACATATTCATTGTCGGTTTGGACGTCCTTCTCTTGATAAGTTGAAAAAATTGATTCCTAGTTTGAGTCATGTCCAGTCTTTAGAATGTGAGCCGTGTCAGTTAGATAAATATCACCGTGTCTCTTTTCTCCTTAGAGAAAATAAACACGCTTTGCATCCTTTTGATATTGTTCGTTTTGATATTTGGGTCTTTGTCGAGTAGTGTCTAAATTGGGCTGTCATTACTTTGTTACTTTTGTAGATAATTTTTCTTGAATACTTGGCTTTATTTTAATAAAAGATCGTTCTAAATTATTTTCCATTTTTTGTGTATTTATGCTGAAATAACAAAATCAGTTTGGCATTTCCATACGGGTTTCTTAGGAGTGACAATGCTAAAGAATATTTTTCTCACTCCTTGACACATTTATGAACACTCATGGCATCATTCATCAATCTACTTGTCCTTATACACCTCAACAAAATGGGGTTACTGAACAGAAAAATAGCATTTGTTTAGACGTTGCTCATACAATGATGTTTCAAATGAATGTTTCTACTATTTTTTGGAGTGACGCTATTCTTACTGCTTGTTATTTAATCAATTGCATGCCTTCAATTGTGTTACAAATTAAATCTCTCCTTCTATCCTTTTTTCTCATGAACCATTATTCACACTTCCTCCTCATATATTTGGTTCAGTTTGTTTTCGTTCATCAATTAAGTCCTGGTATTTGATAAATTAAGTCCACGTTTTGTCAAGTGTGTTTTCTTGGAGTACTCTTGGTCTCAAAAGGGATATAGGTATTTTGACCCCAAAATCTCATAAGTTCTTTATTAGTGCTGATGTTACCTTTTTTGAATCCACTCCATTCTTTTCCGATTCCTATTCTATTCCAATCTCGAAACCTCCATTACCCTACCCATATCACTGCCCTTTTTCACATACTCTTGAGTCATCTATACCGGAGCGTTTATCTCGTCCTGACTTGCAGGTGTTTGTACAATGAAACACTAAAGTTCAATGCCGTCCAAATTCATGCCCTCCACAATCTTCTTCTCTCATCTTTAGATCCATCCACGGACCTCCCGATTGGTCTCAGGAAAGGTAAACGACATGCACCAACTATCCTATTTCTAATTTGTATCTTATGATTCTTTGTCTCCATCATTTGCTTCCTTCATCTCCACTATTTATTCTCTCTCTTTACCTAACACACTCAATGAAGCTCTTCTGCACCCTGGTTGGAAGAACATAATGGATGAAGAGATCATACGTTACACAGAAAGATACTTGGGAACTGGTTCCCTATCCTGTTAATAAGACTATAGTGGGTTGCAAATGAGTTTATACAATTAATCTTCTTCCCCAATGGTTCCATTGAATGCCTTAAAGCTCAACTTGTGGCTAAAGGTTACACCCAAGTATATGGTTTGGACTACTTGGATACCTTTTTCTCCAGTTGCCAAGATATCATCTGTTCGTTTACTTGTTTGTTTAGCAGCATCTTTATCTTGGCCTTTACACCAACTGGATGTCAAAAATGCTTTCCTTCATGGTGACCTCACCGAAGAAAATCTATATGGAACAACCTCCTAAATATGTTGCTCAGGAGAGTCTGGGTTGGTATGTCATCATTAAGAAGTCATTAATAGGTTAAAGCAATCTCCTCGTGCCTGGTTTGGGAGACTCACAAAAGCTATAACTTCATTTGGCATGCAACAATGTTCTGTGAATCATTTTGTTTTTCACTAACGAATATCAGTGTTATCATTCTTCTTGTCATATATGTTAATGATATTGTCATTACTGGAGATGATAGTACAAGAATAGAAAAATTGAAAGGAATCTCTTCAATCTCATTTTTAGACAAAAGATCTCGACCCTCTGAAATATTTGTTGG